CGGCAGGCGACCCAAAACTTTTGGCAATATAGTGTAGCTGTGTAAAGAATGAAAGACCGCTTGCAAGAGAAACTCAAACCCTGCCCATTTTCTTGCCTATGTACACCTGGCCAATTGCTGCGTGATGTGGGCGTGAATACTGTACTGTTGTCCTACTGTTTACATCATTCATCATATGTGTAAATTCTGTTAAGCACACCGGGCAACCTAAATTAAGCATAAAAACACTATTATGTTTAAATTTCTGCAAATTTGATTGATTTGGCACCAATGTTATGCACAAGCAGCTGCAAAATATTACGCGTGAAATATCTTACACACAGGCCTTTTTACATAACTGCCCATATGACTCTTGACTTTCATGGTCCTGTGACCACTGAAAGAGTGTGATCCTTACTAGTCTGACCCCTGTATTCCCCACAACCCCCTAATTATAAATTCTAATTTTACACTCTGAGGCGTGGTCCTGTCAAACTGTGTGCAACAAATTAGAGGATAGATGCCTGTCAATTCATCATGGCAGAAATGGCCTGATGACTCCCTCTCTGTCCCTCACAAGTTATTTTTTCCTACAACATAAAATCTCTCTGTTTTAGTTTTGAAAAACAAATTAAGAAGTTGCATTAACCGAGGATCTCTTAGACAAGAGAACACACAAAACAATGTCAAAATGGAAACTATATAAATATAAAAAATGTAAAATATTCTTTGCACAGAAAAGCTAATCAAATATAACTTTATTATTAAGATATTTTCTATCCTTGGTGAAGAATACAATACAATTTAAAACATACTTTACCCTTTGAAGCAGCATGTAAATGATGACTAGTCAGGTGACTGCCATGCCCTGCTAAATGAAATTTAAATTGGATGTGTGGTTTTGGAACACCTGAGTGAAATTAACTCTAATAAGCACCATGACCCTCAGAAGCTGACTAATGGGGCAATTAAATTGTTAAAAATCCCACTTAAGTAATATGTAGGTATGACGTGTAATAGTATGTGTCTGTTGTTACCACATACATGATGGTGAGTGGAAATTGTGGCATGCTGCTGTCATATAATAAATACATTATTTTATAAAGTGGTGTGATGCACAAAACATCACATTATCAAAGCATGAATATGAAAGTGCATTTACAATGTATTTGTAGCTTTAGCATAAGAGGGTGATACAGAGGAACATGCTGGCTTTTAAAGATAAGCTCAAAAAAAAAAATGAAAATATCGTTTTGAGTTTCAGAGGAGTCCTTGCAGTATGCGTTGCCTCCTCTGAAACTCATCCACTTCTTGCCACTTCACTGCTGTGATTGTCTAGAGTATAAAATAGGTCATGCTACAATATACACTTCAAAACTCAAGCAGGGAAAATAAGCACCGTATTGTCACTTAATTGTAGGCAACTTTTGTATTACAAGAGTTTGTGGTTTAGGGACTATGGTGAAAATCCCACCCAAGAATGCATGTACTGTATGGCTGCGGCCTCGAGATGTAGAGGTTAATATTAGGAGGCAATGCTGGGGATGTCCAATAACCAGTGGTGGAAGAAGAGATCCATTACTTACGTAAAAGTAGCAATACAACAACATGAAACTACTGTACAAGTAAAGACTCTCCATTCAAGTAAAAGTACCTGTTCTGCAGAAAAATGGCCCCTGTGAGTGTTGCATTATTACATTTTACATTATTAGATTGTTAATATTGATGCATCAATATGTAATTAGTACTTTACTGGTCGGTCCAGGTGGAGCTAGTTTTGACTTTTAATTAAAACTTTATATACAATTTGGATGTTTAGTCCAGTGATTCCTAATGTAGGGTCTACTTAAACTATCTGAGAAGTTTAGAGGGGAATTGCTAACAACATGCAAACATCTTAAATGTGACAAAGAGCCAAAACTTGATGGTGCTTGCAAGGTCACAAGCCAGAAAAGTTGGGGGTCCCTGGTGTAATCTTTGAAAATGCATTGTATTATAAAATTGCTTTATAAGTTTATCATAAGTATCTTTATTATTTATCTGAACAGTAATGACTAACTGTAGCTGTTAAACAAATATAGTGGAGTAAAAAGCACAATACTTCTCTCTAAATTGTAGTGGAGTGGTAGAAAATGAAAAAGAGTAATGTTTGTACCTCAACATTGTACTTAAGTATATTAATTGTACTTATACTTAACAAAATTATAAACACAATACTTTTGTTTACTTATGGTAGAGAAATGAACATTCAAGTCACGGGCAACAGCTCTGGTGGGCATTCCTGCAGTCAGCATGCCAAATGCATGCTCCGTCAAAACTTGCAACATTTGTGGCATTGTGTTGTTTGATGGAACTGCACATTTTCGAGTGGCCTTTTATTGCGGCCAGCCTAGGGCACACCTGTGTAATACCCATGCTGTCTGATCAGCATTTTAATATGCCACACCTGTGAGGTAGATGGATTATCTCACTAACACAGATTTTGACAGATTTCTGAACAACATTTGAGTGAAATAGGCCTTTTGTGCACATAGAGAAAGTCTTATATCTTTGAGTTTAGCTCATGATGAATGGGAGCAAAAACTAAAGTGTTGCATTAATAATTTTGTTCAGTGTATGTTCCAACACCACCAACAATTAATTTAACAGACTGACTTATGAATGTGTGATGCTGTTTTTCTGCCTTGTGTGAATTTTAGGAGATGCAACTAAATAATCACACAGGAGGAACTTCTGGCTCATGCATTTTTCAACTGGGCAGGCCTAGCAGCTTGCTGCAGATGAGGACCAACCATGGTCAGGGGAGACATACCAAAGCCCTGAGCTCAGCCCAAGTGCAGCAGTCTTACAATATGTCAGCAGTGTTATTTTTACAGGGCCATATTAGAAAACCAAATGGATCTGCATCTGTCCCACATGGGCATTCCTCCATTGGTGACCCTGAGCAAACCCACAACCCTTGTCCTCCGTCTCTTGCATCAGCTTGTTACAAGCCCCTGATTTCCAAAGTAGTATTTACTCCTGCCGTGGCTCACCAGGCATTTCAGTTGTAATGATAAATACTCCCATGAATTAAACAGCAAGGAGCCAAGTAAGTCAGAACGCAGACATTTAACCAGTAAATCCTGGCTGCCTTCTGTGTTTGCCTAGTTAAACATGCTGGTGGGTGAGTAGATCAGTCGGGCCTTGGGCTGAAACCTCCACAAGAATCGGGGCCATTAGCCATCAGACTGATAAACAAGCCTGTGACATAATGTGGAAACACTGATTCCATTCAAAGGGCTAATCATCCACAAAACATTCTGCATGCCGTGCAAATCTCACACATATAAAACAAATTCCTTGTGGTTGGTGGAGGGTTAGTGAGTTGGAGAAAATGGCTGTTTAGTGGAATAACACTATCTGTCCTACTGGCTTCTTCTCACATCCACAAAGAGCTGGGAGTCTGGGTGAGATTAGGGGACTGGTGCCGTTGTGGCTTTGTCTTTGTCTGCCCTCGATCCAAAATATCAGGAAGCAGATAGTCTTTTCCTCCAGAGTAGAGTGATGACCCTCTCATCTTCCAAGTCCCTATAACACTTTTTCATATGTGTATATGTATTTTCTTTGTATCAGAGCTAAAATCATAGTCTATTAGTTCTACCTGTAGGTTACAAACAAATAAATGTTTGAATTCAAATTAGTTGGTTGCAGTTAATTTCCTGTTTGAGTGTGTGTGGGTTTTTTTTAGGAATGAAAACTGAGTTTTTATGTAATCTCTTTTAGGTCTATTGGTCAGGACATAAATCAAAACAGGGGTCTGGAACCCAAACAGAAACATGCAATAAATGTCGATGTTGGAAAAACACAAACTTGTTACCAATTAGTGTTAACTGTGCGCTCTGGCAAATGTAAGCCCTCATTATAATGACCAAAATAATTTGGTATATGAACAGTGCAGCCAAAACATATTAAGTCAGCGGAACTGTGAGGACCCTCGCATGTTTTAACTGGATCTTGTGCCAAGCCTGGCTTGTATACAACTTACAAATGGCAGATATCAATGTCATTGGCCGTCTACGAGCATAAATATGATTAAACAATTTTCCCTTTGCCAGTGAGCCCTATAATGTAACGTTTGTGGTCTTGATTATTTAAAACCAAATGAAATATTACAGGGCTTTGAACTTAAATGACATAAAGTTATTAGATAAGAAACATTATTAAGTAAAGTGGGTGATTACGCTGTTCAAATGTTATTGTATTTCCATCTATTTATTCATTTTATTCAATGATTAATTCACATTCCATTTAGTTTATTAAAACATAAACATTTCCATTTGATGAACTGTACCAGATTAAAGCGTCAAACTACTTCTGCATCTGATCCCTTGCCAGGTCACAATTAAAAACAACACAGTAATCAATGAGATAAGGCTGACCTGTTCATTGAAATGTCACTAAGCACAACATTTATAAACTATGGAGTAGATAAACCTATAACCATGGTTCATCATGTTTTGTTTTGTAAAATCTTAATCTGCAAAGGAAGTAGTAACCAAAGCGGTCAGTGTAGCGGAGAAAAGATGGCAGCTTTTCCTTGCGAAGTGTGAATTTAAAGTAGCATCAAATGGAAACACTCAAGTAATGTACAAATAATTTAATACTGTTTGGAAGTACAGTACTGGGGTCTGACGTCTGCAAAAATACGTCTACTATGATTCCACAATCATTATGCTCTTACAGCAGGAAGACTGCAACAGGTATCAACACTATCACACTTTAAAAGTGTGCAACAGCACCACCTACTGTTTGTTAGGCACTTCTACAACACGTAGCATGAAATTCACAGCACTTTATTATCTAACAATAATAAGTTAAATAAGTTATTTTGTCTATGTTTCTAATAAATAATATTCAAATGTTAGTGAATTGCCGCCACTGTCATGATTTATAATTCTTCTGATGTTTTCAGTGTGAGTTGAGTTGCGAATCTGCGGAAGGGTAATGAACAGCAACACGCTCTCAACCAGGCAGGCACCCACGTGGTTCAGCTACCAGGGAAGCACTAGACCAGAAGCAGCAGGGTCGCTTCATGGGCCGTACAGCTTAGAAAAGCCTTACATATACTTGCTTTATCTAAATCAGTTTCCTTTATTACGCTCGAGGACATTTCTCATAATGTCTTCGTTTAGGAAAGCGTTGAAATCCCGACAGAAAAACCACCATGAAAGATCTCAGGTGAGCACTGCAGTGTTTTTATAGCTAGGTTGCTAGCCTGGTGTCCTGTTATGAAGTGTACCTGTACAGTGACACTTTTCAGATAATATCACCAAGCAAATAAATGTTATGTTCCTGTGACCCATACATTAATACTAGTACTGAATGTGCATATTTTGTCTTAACGTTAACTGTATCATTTTGTTCGACCAGCCTGGTTTCAGAAACATTTGGGATTGCTGGAGAAGAAGAAAGACTACAAACTCCGTGCAGAGTGAGTAGAATCAATTTTAGGAGGCATGTTTGGTGTTTCCAGGCACAGGATCTAAAATCATAAAACGTTTAATGTCAAACGTTGTTGAAGAAAAAATCTTGTAATGAGCTTAACTCGCCATTTTTTGTTGTTGTTTTATAGTGATTACCACAAGAAACAAAACACTCTTTCTGCCCTGCGAAAGAAAGCTCTGGAGAAGAACCCAGATGAGTTTTACTTTAAAATGATCAGCTCTCAGCTGAAGGTAAGGTAATCTTTATTAGCAGAGCAACAATACCAGCATCAGAAAATCAGCTGAACAGAGAGAATGCAGTTGAGTACTATGTAAATCCTGATATCTGATCTAAGTGACTGTAGCATTTAATATGTCTGGCTTATTTTATGGCATATTGACAGGATGGAGTTCACGTAGGGAAAAAATCCAACGAGGAGGTGGAGGTGACAGAAGAGCAGAAGAAAGTGATGAGGACACAGGATATAAAATATGTGGAGATGAAAAGGGTTGCAGAGGCTAAGGTAAGTTCATATTTCCTGTAGTAGATTATGCATTGAGAAACTCTTGTGCCTGACTAACTTAATTTCATACAGTTCTTAAATTTGGAATAGAAAGACACAACAAATAGGACTTGATTATGCACACTGACAGATGGATAATTAGCTACAAACATTAATGGTACTAAAAGAGAAGAGAATATTCTCTTATTCAAATGACAACAAGTTTATCATATAATAAGCTTCAGTAACTTTATTTAAAAACCTCTACAATGTCAATTATATATTGTTTCTCTACTGAAATGAAAATCCGAATTACCACATCGGTCTGTTTTGCTGTGGTTGTTATGAGAGACAGTGTACTGAGTTTACTCACAAAGTGTGTGTGTGTGTGTGTGTGTGTATATACACACACACACACACACACACACACACACATATATATATATATATATATATATATATATATATAATAAAATAATAATACACAATAGCATTTGTGTTGGACAGAACGGAAATAACAGATGGGTCCTGGCCATTACTTAAATTAATTCTCCCCAGAGAGCTTCTGTTGTTGCCCCCTGTAATCTTTGCGTGTTTCATTTGCTTTCAGAAAATTGAAAGGCTGAAAGGACAGCTCCATCTTCTGGATGCAGACAGCAAACAAAAAAACAGCCATACATTTTTTGTGGATTCAAAAAAAGAAGGTACATATAAATATAAACGCAATTGATGTGATCAAACATCCTTGTTTTTGTAGGCTTTAATTGTTATTAGGTTACGTGAGAAGTTTTACTGTGTCTCCACAGTGCAGTCGTTTGACCTGGCAAACCACCTCAACACAGCTCCTGAGCTTGTGGACAGAGTGTACAACAGACCAACTCTGCAAACTCTGGAGACTAAGAGCATTCAGGGAGCTGTAGAGCCTCACAGTATGGAGGTATGCGTTTGCAGTGTATGTAGATCAGCCTCTTTTGTTGTGTGATCATCCTGAGCCTCGGTAAACTGTACTGTATGTTTCAATTGAAAAGTCTAGTATTTGCTCTTCAACCAGCTGATGGTTCATGTTTTCTCCTCTTCTCTAACTGTAGAAGTTGGCCAGGCAGAGGAAGCACCAGTATAAGATCCTTTCCCAGAGGATTGACCGAGAAAAGAAAATGTTTGTCATCAGCCAGAAGATTCAGACCCGTAAGGATCTACAGGTGAGGAGAAGGCGAGGTCCTTAATCACAATAAGTATTTTGGTTTCAGTTTCAAATGAATGAATGTCAAATCAACATTGAGAGCTTTTGTTTTATCAGGATAAAAACAAGAAAGTGAAGGTAAAAAAAGAGACTCCCAATGCTGCAGCCATCTACAAGTTTGAGGCCAAGAGAAAACGCTGAGAGGGGAGTAATCATCAACTCTGTCAGTGAGATAATGGTGAAATAGTGGACCCTGAAATATTGTTGCACCTCTGCTGTTTTGTACATATTTATCAAAGACTTTAGTCTAGTTTCTTTCAAATAAATGACAGAATAACACAAAATTATGTGATTTCTTGACGTGTGTGTGTGTGTGTGTGTGTGTGTGTGTGTGTGTGTGTGTGTGTGTGTGTGTGTGTATATATATATATATATATATAAAATTTGGTTAATGTATGTGCTACAGTCAGGTGAGCCATCTGAATTGTGGCAGTAGATTTTTTGTTCTTGTACCAGTAGGTGGCATTAGTGTTCTTTATCACACTACTTGGGAGAAATAAATCTGTCAGCGGCTGAAGATGCTGGAATATGCATAGAGAGTAGGCTGAGCGGGAAGTCAATAGTATGACCCAGCATTTTGAATTCAGAGTTTAATTGCGGTTGTGATGTTTTCTGTAAGATTTCACTGATGTGTTCTGTTTGTGTGTGTGAGTCGCAAACAGCTCTCTATTTTAGTAGGTTCTTAACTGGGGAGGTGACCTCTTAATTCACATTTCATAATATATAATAGACTGGGATTTTCCTTTTCAAAGACTTCTCTAAAAGAAAAAAAAAGCTAGAAATGTCTTTTTCTTCTGTCAGAACTTGAACGACACCACTGCTCATTGCTAGGACGCTGTAAATAATTGAAGCCACGGTTAGCAGCAGAGAAAAATTGTGCAAACAGTGTAACATGTTATGTGTGTAATGTAAACACACACACACGTAACATGTTACACTGTTTGCCAGGTGTCCATCTCTTGTTGAAGTAACTTACTGCATAAACTCGGATATCATGGAAATCTTTATATTTACCAGTTTTTTTGGTCATTTGATGGTAACTTCCTGGTGATGGACTTGGACATTTCTGACTTGGCATCTTGTGGAGGTGCAGGTTCTGTTTCAGTCTTCAGAACCTCTGAAGGACACCTTTGTTGCAACCCTTGACATAGGATGCCACATATTCCTCTGACAGACCCATTTCACATGTCAGCAGGATAGACAGCTGCAGCTGGTAAAATTAAATATGATTTAAGTGTCAGTCAGCAAGCATTGATAATACTATTGTCAATGTTTGCTCATTAGCTTACCTTAATCAAAATGAACCATTATTAATTGTATTAGCTGCAGCTGTGCTTATGCAAAAATACCTCTGTTCAAAGACTCCATTGAGAGACAAATGTAAATTGTCTCAGCTAACTGTGTTAATGTTATGCTGCCTTTTGTCGTAAGTCGTCAGGTAGCCCAATATTTTTCCACAGTAGGAAAAGCAAGGGTGTTACTAATGATGGCTCTGTTTTATTCAGGTTTTCCAGTAAGACATAACAGTGTGAAAGTGAACCAGCATGGACAATACCAGGACCCAGAAACTGAAGCAGTGAAATGTAATTCAGCCATCATTCATTTTAGCTGCCCCTTACACACACCTGTGTTTTCCCTACCAAATGTCTTCCATGATAAAGGCCTGTGAGGGCTGTCACTTTCCATGTCTTCCTCACATCTTTCTGCTTTCACACAAGTATGGTCTTTGGCTAATTAGACTTTTTAGGAGTGTGTGCGTAGGCTGATCAGTTATCTTGGGTGCCATGGTGGAGCAGGGATTAGCTCAGATACCTCATTGTAAGAAGATCACCGGTTTAACTACCGCTAAGGCCAACTCTTCTGTTGATCCTCCTGCCATCAGTCCTCGCCAAGTCCCTGTCCTGAAAATTAAAATTGGTTGAGTCAAGGCTTATAGACTTTCTAAAACGTAGCTCACTGAAGCACCATTTTTCAGGTGAGGCAAGCACATTCACATTTTCTTCACAAAATGTACCCTTTATAGTGCTGTCTCTCACCACCAAACTCTTATGTGGCCATGAATGTGCATATAGTGATTACTAACAAAACTGAATGTGTGGTTCCTCCAGTCTATAGTGTGAAATAGACTAAAGACTTGGCGCCCAGCAGCAGATCACAGTGACCCAGGTTTGATTGATCACTGTGGTGGCAGCAGCTTCATAAACAGGGCCCATCCATCAGCCTCTCCTGGGAGCCACAGGAGGGGAAGAGGGGAGAGGACCCAGGCAGAAATGTCACCAAGCGCAGTGAGAGGTGGAGGGGCTGGAGGAGAGGGACCAGAGGCCTTGGCCCAAACACTGCTGACCAGAGCAAAGGTGAGCCAACACCTCAGTATGGGCCAAAACAGGGAAAGAGTGATGGTGGATGTCCACTTGGACTGGTTGCGCTTGTTTAATTGCATTAGAAATGTTGATGAGGATGTTTTTAAATATGTATGAGACAATGTGTAAACACATGTAGTAAACATATACGGTATAGTCATGCATGTGTCGATTTCACTGTACACCACACAAGCACGCACAAAACCGGCCAGCTCGTTCAGTGGCATTTCAGTTTTGACCCTTCATGTACCCAGTGAAAGAGTGATTGACGTCTTCAGCCAACTCTCCTTCCCTCCTTCCTTCCTCCTGCCCTCTGCTACTGCGTCACGCTGCTGAGAGGGCGTGCGTGTATCAGGACCCCTCAGGCCCAGCGTCCAAAAGCGGAGGGGGTGGATGTCGTTGAGGAGAGCCCAGGGGTCAAAACACTATGTGCGCAGTTCCGGGACCCCTATCTGACTGTGCGACCCAAGCACAGACAAGCCACTGTTCCTCCTCAAGCTTTCCTTTCATTCCCCCCAGCAATGGGACTCTTACGCTGGGGTGTAGTAGCAGGGCTCAGGGGTGGGCAGTGAGCGACCTTCTGATTTTAAAGATATAGACAGGCATTTCTATATTGTCAAAAGCCTCGTAATTCATTTGACGACTCGTACAGGCCATCCTGTCTCCACCCCGCCTCCCAACACCATCTCTAAAGTTAATGACCCTGGAGGTTAGCAAACGAATAGTAATTTTTGGAATGGGGGAGTTAGAAGTGGATTGCTATGTGGAAGTCACACAGCTGCAGGGTATGACATTGACCCCAATATATAGTGACTGTTTGAGAGTAAAAGTGTAGCCTGGTTAAGAAGGGGCAGAATACAATATATCTTTGTTCTACAAGTTTAGTTGTAAAATATATAACCGAAAATCTTCTCCTTTTAATAAGTGGAACATTTTGTGATCAGTTTCTTTGATCCCAGTGTCTATTTAAAGGCAATTTTAATCTAATACACTTCCTTTTGTCAAATTCAACAAATATCTCCTCACGGCCCTTCAGCTGTCTGTTCTGTGTGTGCGCTGAAAATAAATCCGGTGTTTGTACACAGCCTTGGCTCTTTAAATGGGAAACAAACAAAGTGGCTCGGACCACACCACACAACACTATTCCAGCCATTTCAGCCATGATTTGTGTGTCAGGTAATGTTAAATGACTTGCCCACAGACATTCAGCTTACTTTCACCAACATATGCTGTTTTTGTGATATTAGCTATAGTAGTAGGAGAGTTGTGAGTATCGCTGTCTGGAGCTGGTGTGCAGGCTCTGGGACCATCTCATCCTCTCTGAATGCAACTGTAGTGAACATTTGCTAACCCACAACCTAGCTTACGTTAGTTACATTACTTGCTGTGTTGTTGCTCGCTCTAAATCATGATATTTGTCATGGAATTGGGTTTGTCCAGAATCACATACCCTTCCTTTAATACTGTACTATACTGTACATTTCAAAAAATTTACTTGTTCTAGGTTTTTAAAACGAGCATCATGAGGTGTCAGTGAGCGCAAAGGTAAACCTTGAGATACCAGTGTAGGAGTTCTTATTTGTCAGTGATATTGTGTTTCTTTTATGTTTAAGATGTAATACTTCAGTGCTTACCGCAGTTGTTTTGGAGTGGTGGAAGAAACCCAGACAAAATGTTTAATTGTAATTTTGGTGAATCAACCCTTATTTAAGGAATAGCAGGTGATTTAAAGGTCACATTTTCTGTATTTAATGATATGATATACAAATGATACAAACCATACACCACCACAAACAATCACCTCCCAACATAGTTTTTAACCTGGCACTTGATCCTTGCAAACTACAAGTGCTGCATCTCCACCCACCTTATTCACCAATACAGTTCTGCCCTGCTCCACAGCCAGCGTACAGAGCCAAGGTTAAGGATGGTTAAGGACAATACTAATCGATCCCCCAATTACAGAGCGCTGGAGAGCGAGAGGTGGGGAGAAGAGAGAGGTAGCCTGGGGTTTGAGTGTTGGGAGGGTGTCTCAGAATGCAAGGGGTGGGGGATGAGAGGTAGTCTTTATCTTCAGATCCCTCTCTCCTTTAACTTGAAGCTGGATGTCATGGGGCTTTTGAAGTAGTGGATAGAGAGGAGGGACAAGAGAGGGGGGGTTTGGTGGGCGTGCAGGCAGGGTCTCTCTCCATGCCAGGGGAAGATGTCTGCAGGAAAATCTTTACAGCCTTGACAGTGCCCCTGACGTGTGTGTTTTGGATGTGTGTGTGTATATTAGCATGTTTGTGTGTGTGTGTGCCTGAGTTGAATGTCTGGCTTATGCACTGAGGTGGGGATCACAGAGCCCCCTTTTTTAAATTGCCGCTAATGAGCCCTGGCTGGCGTGAGGTACTTGAATTGATTAAATTTGCATGGGAGCCCAAATCATGATGGGGGCCTCATACTTGTGCCCCCCACCTCTAAGTGCGCACACATACACAGCAAACGCCCCCCCCCTTCCACCTCCACATCAGACCTACAGGGGGTATCTCTCTGCAGGAGAGAGGGACAGGATAGAACAGGGGGGAGGATGAGTACGCGTGTGTGGTGTTGAACGGGGCGTGGAGGGCACCCATCTGCCCCGGTATTACTGTCAGTCCATCATTCAGGGGAATGCCAGGCGCGCGCCTCGGGGACGTGTTCATTACGCTTTAACTACCGGATCTGTCCTTGTCTCGCAGCCTCTCTGTGTCATTGTCTGTCTGAGATTGCGTGTATGTGTGTATTTATGCACGTGTCTGTTTGCATCACAATTGAATGCACTCAGTTCTTGTGTATTGGAGGTGGATTGGGGGTTGAAATTGAGCAGTAGTCTGGAAATACACTCACTGGACACTGTACTTGGGTTTGATACTATAGGTGGGTACGTTTTTAATTTGATTTAT